TTTTTTTTTCTATTCCTGAAATACATCACACCTGCTTCCCACTTCCAGGCCTTTGCACTGCTGCTCCCACTGTCTGGTATCCCATCTAACCCAGATGTTCCCAAGCTCGACAGCGCCTCCTAACCCACAGGGGCCTCTCACCACTGTCCTTATGCCCAGGCTTCTCTGAGCAGCCAGCCTGGAGTGGGACAAGCAATGGTTTGCCATCCTTTATGTCTGCTTTAGTGCAATCAGAAAGGATCCTCCTGCAAGGCTCCTCCCACTTGAAGGTAAGCTCCAGGAGAGCAGGGTGCTCGCCCAGGGCTCGGCACACGCTAAGAGCTCAGCCTCTCTTGGCCGAAGGAAGGCCTGGAGCCTGGTTTCCTGGCCCAGGGTGTTTCCTTTCCCCACCTCCAGAGGAGGTGACTGGCGGGAAACACTGTTGCTTAGTGCAGTCACACAGGTGGGTGTGCAAGAACTAGAAATGGGGGACATCTCTCAATGTGAAAATGCCAGGCACCAGGCGGTGGTCGTGGAGAGGCAGTGCACCTGGGGGTACGCACAAGGACTTTTTTTCATGCACGGGACTGTAAGGCCTGGTTTGTTGGGCGCCCTTGGCAAGTCACTGAACCTTCAAATGACTTCGAATAACACAGAACCCTACCTTGGACAGTCCGTGTGAAACTGTAAAATTAGCACCCACAAACCATTCACAGCAGCGTATGGCACTTAATAAATGTGCACTCAACCTTTGCCTTTATTACCATGGACAGTTCTGATGACTCATGCCTATCCTTCCAGGGATCTCTATGTCCAACCCAATTCCTCCCCATCCCTCCGCCTTTGTAGTTCAGCACGAAACCAACAAGCATGGCCAGAGGAGGGAGGCACTGCCTTCATGAGAAGAGACCCTGTGGCCAACCTCCCGCCGGACAAGGCAGAACCTTGAGTGTTTTCTCTCGAGGTGGGGTGGTTCTCTGTTGACCTGTCCACACCACCACTCCCCATCGATGGCTTTACCCGTTCATTCAGCAGACGTATGCTCATGGCCCTGTGTGTTGGAACTTGGACGGATTTCTACGCAACCTCCCCAGGCCTCCCTGTCTCCATCAAAGAGGTCTGGAGACATGGCGGATCACAGTCGTCTGAAGGATAGATGGTGGCCTCGACGGGTGGCAGTTGGGGGAGGGAGGGAACATCCAGACGTTGGGATGGGTAAGAGGAAGACAGCATTTGTGCATCTCTCGTGTTTGGGACACCTAAGGCTGGGTTGCCTTATCCGAATATGGGTGAAATGGCATTCATTCTTCACCCAAATGGTGAGAGACATTCTGATGAGATACCATAGCACAATCATTTTGTGAGATGCTCAGAGGATGTCGCCTTTGCAGACGACACCTCCCTGATTTCCTAATTTTCAACCAGATGTGTCTCAGGTCCCTTAGGACCCAGGCTTCTTTGTCTCTGTCCCTCTCAAAGCATCACGTCTCAAATGCAACATTAAGCGATCGGGTCTGACCCAGTGGCCAGAGACAGTGCTCTCTGTAAACACACCGCCCCATTAGGCAGCCTAAACCACTCACCTCGACACCCAAGTCTGACCTTCAAATGTAAAGGTACACTTCCAAAAGTGATGGAGATAGAGGGAAAGTCAGGGAAGGAGAGAGGGAGCGAGGACACCCTGGCATACTGATCAAAAGTAAGTTCTAAGCTTCCTACCCATGCAAACATAGCATACACTACAAGAGTCCCAACATCCCTAAGAGAAGTATACCAGGTTATGAAAAAGATTTCCCTGACATTTAGATCTGGCAAATTTTCCCCAGGTAAACGAGCCCAACAAAGTACCATGTCTAACCCTTTGCTATTAGCAGTCATCTAAGAAAATGACAAATATTCCATTCGGTCAAAGATGTGGTCAAACTAGACTATTCATAGGTTGACGACATTATTAGGAGCATTCCCCCAACCCCCAAACATTTCCACCATATATATGAAGAGCCACAAAATCTTCTTTTGGGGGGTGGGGTGGATTAATTCCAAGCTTAATTCCAATTCCATTAAACTAAAATAAGTGATGAGAATGGAAATTGGAAGCCACATAAATGTCCAAGGCGAGGGAGGTGGTAAGAGAAATGACCTTAGTGCACATGCAGCCACTCACAACGAGGGCAATAGGAGCTGGGTCGCCCCAGGAAATGCTTGTCATGACAGCAAAGAAAGGGCTGACCTCGAGACGATATTCATGCCGCGGGGGACATCTATGGTGAAGTAGAGGACCAGAGCAGGAGAATGGGAACGTCTCAGAGTGGACATGTGTTAGGGCAGTGAGTGAAACAAGCTTTTGTTCTAAATCAGGGTGTCAAACTGGCAGCCCATGGGCCGCATGCAGCCCCCGAGGTAATTTTTTGTGGCCCGCCATGCTCTGAAATAAAATAATAGAAAAAACTTGTCGTGAAGAAAACAGCGCTCAGGGGAGATCGAGGCAATACCAGACACACAATTCCCTCACTACATTTTATTTCAGAGCATCATGGGTCACAAAAAATTACCTCGGGGCCCGCATGCAGCCCAGGGGCTGCCAGTTTGACACCCCTGTTCTAAATCATTTATTTTTGAATAGAAAAGGGTTTTCTGACTGTAAATGTTCCAAAGTGATCCCCACTCCCCACCAGCCCCTCAAAGTTCAACATACTCTTGAGAAAAGCACCAAGAAATCTACCAGAACCTGAAAATGGTAGGTCTCCCCCCACCCTTTGCTTGTTCTCTTTAAAAAAAAAAAATCATTCCCTAGTCCCACAAACCATGTGTAGCTAATAAAAGAAAGCTACATCGTTTGGGCTGTTAAGCATCATTTCTTAAGAGGATGGACAGAGTTCTGACCCCTTCCCGCGTGCTCACCCGAATGGCGTGCTGTGTAATAGAGTACACAGGCAAAGACCTGGAGGCCTAGCTATGGCCCTGACCGAAGAGCCTGGCCTGCACATAAGCCAGAAGGTGGCTGGGTGAGGAGGGCAGGTTTGTTCCCCTACCAGGCAAGAGAAGGCAGCAGCAGTGGGTTTGTCGATCCCACTGAGATCAAGCTTGTGGCATCATCAAATCATAGAAAACTCTGGCTACAAACGCACTGCCATTGAGTCAACGGGTCTAACTCCTAGAAACCAGACAGGTCTGACTAGATCTGCCCCTGTGGGTGTCTGAGGCCGTTACATCTTGATGGGAGCAGTCTCATCTCTCCCCTGCAGAGTGGCTGTGGGTCTGCACTGCTGACCTCAGCAGTCCAACGTGGATATAACCCACTACACCACCAGGGTTCCTTCAGATCATGGAAGGGGCCTGTGAACGCATGGCTCAGTTGAACCTATGAATTCGCACCATAGCTGATGGCTTGCATCGGCCCCTTTTGTATAATAAATGTGTGGACTAACACATGCAGTTTCCCCAGTCCTGGTGGGGCAGTGGATGAAGCACTGGACAGTTCACCAAAAGGCCAGTGGTTCAAACCCACCAGCCCACTCCAAGAGAACAAGATGCGGCTGTCTGCTTGTGTAAGAGTTGCAGCCTTGGAAATGGTCTACAGGGTTGCTATGAGTCAGAATTCACTCGAGGGTTTGGGGGGCTGTGTGCTCTAAGGAGCCCTCGTGGCTCTGTGGGTCAAACAATGGGCTGTGTGTTAGTCTGGGCAGACTAGAGAAACAAATCCAAGGAGAATCTCATGTATGTATAAGAAAAAGGTTTATACACAAGAGCAGTTGAATATTGAGAAAACACCCCAGCCCAGTCTAGATCAAGTCCGTAAGTCCAATATTAGCCCATATGTCTGATATCATTCTATAAAGTCACGAAACACATGCAGGAAGATCACAGGCCAGTTGGTGGGGGGTGGGTGAGTGGGATCTTGTGGATCCAGTGGCATTATAAATATCTCAGTGATGGCAGGGGTCTCCACATGGCTTCTCTGGCTCCAGAGGTCTGGCTCCATCAGCCTCTCTCCATGTGTCTTCTCCACAGGGATGTCTTGCAGGAAGTGAGTAGAGAGAGTGTGTCTCCCGCCTCCAAGGAGGAATACCAGAGTTCTCAGAATCCTCAGGAGAAGGCCATGCCCACACAGAGGCCTCATTGACTAGGGCCTGATTGACAGCCTAGACTCCACCCCTTCATTCTGAATCCTCAAATTGACAACAGATTATATAACCACCACCATATAATCACTAACCACAAGTCAGTGATTCAAACCCAACAGCTGCTCCGAGGGAAAAAGATGAGGCTTTCTGCTCCCGTAAAGATTTCCTGCTTTGGAGACCCTGGGAGCAAGCAGTCCTATGAGGTCCTGTAGGGTCACCAGGAGTCAGAATCGACTCATCGGCCGTGGGCTTTATGACCAGTGTGACTCGCTGCTGATTCACCCAAGTCAGAGCCAGGAGAGCCCTCCTGACATTTGCTGCCCAAGCGCCGCCCTGCCCCACCACACCCCCCTGCCCCACCATCACCTCTCACCTGGACCACAGCCTCCAGTCTTGCTGTCCCACAGGCAACATCTTTCCCAAATGCA